TTGTGAAGAAATTCTGGGCTAGCATTTTTATGACTGAGATGTGAACCCCCCTCCCCCTCCTGAAAAAAATCTGGATCTGCACCAGTAACTGAATGTCACATGGACAACGGGAAATAACTTCACAATGTGAAATTTCAAATTTGACTACTGTGGCATGCAATGATCTTTAAACTTTAACCTAATCTTTTGGTTTATTATACCCCAATCTATACTTAAACTTGTACTTACCGACTGTCATAGATCTTGTCAACTTCATGAAATATAATCCAATCATAACACAAAATGAATATTTTCCATATACATCTGCCCCAGAGTATGCTATGTAAACCTTGGATGATTCCGTTCAGTACGAATCAGCCGAGGTGTGCCTAGTGATGCTTAATCTAAAAATATGTTATGGGTGACGCAACCCAATGTAATGTAGAAATTTTCCAAAAGGTGTTTACATGTAAACATGTAAAGTTCAAGAACAAATTTTAATAAATTAATTCATAACAAACTATGTTTTAACATAACTTTTCCATCTACATGTGTAGCCTATTTAAAAAAAAACCGTACGTTTCGTGAGATCGAGGGTATGTATGTGTGTGGTGTTTGGAGGGGGGGGGCATTATTTAATTTAAAATGGTTCCAATTATGATCAAAACATTTTTTAAAATCTAATTCACATCATTAATTAGATTCTGTTTTTTCAAGCACATAGGCATCGGAGCCGGGGTGGGGATGGGGGCTTTATACCTCCTTTTTTTGCAAAGATAGACATTTTCTATGTATTGAAAATTGGGGTTTACCTTTTTTGTTGCTTTAGCCCCCCCCCCCCCCCCCACTATCAATTTCCTTCCAATGCCTATGAAGTATATAAAATACTGAGTCATAAGTCACAGGGTCTGAGAATGTTATACTCTATGTGACAAATACATGTATTGTGTAAATTATAGAATTATTTTGACTTTTCCTTGGAAAGCCCAATATGTACGGGTGTTTATTTAGAGGCAAACACATAAGTGCAGGTATTACTGTCTCATGATAGCATCTAGATAACATTTTCAAAATTTTACTATAATTAGAAATATTGGACCATTTATTCATTAGGTACAAAATATGGTCGTTATACATTGAATACCTTCATATGTACCAGAGAGTTTGCGTTTGGTTCTACAGGTATTGATCACAAACATTGTCACTACATTGAAAACATCCTCCGTTGGACAATCAATAATGAAATTCACAAGACCCTGAAGTATCCATAGCTCCATCACAAATTGGGCATGGCATTCAACTCCACAATCGTTCTGATTCAAAGTTTCCTATAGGTTTTTCCTCAGCTTACTCAGTGATTCTTGAGTATGAAGTCAATGCTGCATAAACGACAGGTAGAAAGTCTACACAAAAGGATGGTGTAAGTGGCAACAACTCGGTCTAGTTTGTTGCTGATAATTTTGACAAAAACAATAGCTATTTAGTAGAAGTCTCGAAACGTTTCATGACATGAGTATCATTGTTGGATTCGAACGAAAGCAACAAAAGGAAGTCATCATTCTGCGGGTTGGAATTACGACCAACGAACTAAAAAATGCAGAAATTGATTTTCACTTTTGTAAGCTAGACCAAAGAAATTAAGTCTATATTTTTTACACAGATTTAAACGTCTCAGAAGTTGAAGATACTTCCTGTGATAAATCACTTCAGTGCAGCGTTGTTTGGCCAAATGGAATTCCAAGCCGGTCTGCTACCTGTCAAATGGTAAACAATTGGGATTATCCTAGACAGTCAAATGTTGAGATCTTTCCCATGGTAGACATGAACCTAAGTGGTGTTTTTTTGCATTTTTTTCACTCTACATTTTGTTTCCAAAAAGGCTAGAAATTATCAACATATTCCGATGCTGACATTCGATCAGTCTTTGTATTGTGAAGTATCGAATGTTTTACGATAGGAGGCGAGGCACGTGACAGTGTAATCAAAAGAATTGTTCTTAAACTGCAGCTGGGTGCTATTCATACAGACACGAGTTTCTTGGGAGTGTTCGCACTTAAGAATGAGCAACTAAGAGCTTAAAAAGCTTTTGGAAACATTTCATGCAGAGACAAGTGTTTCTCACATATTGACTGGCAAAGCTTAATTGCGGGCTACATGTATAACTTTTTAAGAGGACAAGTTCTGGTTCAATTTGCCTTGAGAACTACTTTATGATCTGAACTATATGATTTTCACCTTTTGACACAAAAGACTGTATTGAGATGCATCACATAGGCGTCGGAACCAGGGAGGGAGGCTTGGGGGCTTAGCCACTTAGGGATTGAACATTGGGGCGTAGCTTTAGCCCTACCACTTTTAACAGGCACTTTGCAGTTTAGGGGAGGGGAGTGGAAGTGTATGGAAAAAATTGACTCTTTAGACACATTTTCCTTGTTTAAAGCTTGTCAGGTATTTTTTGGTAGGTTGATTTTTTTCTTTTCATTTTGCCCCCCCCCTTCAATCTGCTTCCGACCCAATGCATCAGGAGATGATGATGATGATGATGAAGTCGATGTAGAGAACAATAAAGTAGTTATACAAGAAGATGTGGATGTATTTGATGATCTATCAAATGGAAGCATCGCCGGCAAAAATTACAAAAGAATGATGCCTTGAAAAACATAAGTAAAAATGCATCTTTTTGAAGAATCACAAAAAGGGCTAACAACTTTTTTTTTTGTTTCAGTAACTTTGATTAGTCGAAATGCTGCAAAATTTTATCATAGCCAGAAAGGACTGGGTATTGGTACCTGCATCTAGAGACCCTGAAAGATACTGCCGTACTATTGCCGAAATAGAATAGATAAGTGCAGGAGCCATTTCCTTTCCCTATGGTTGAATACAACACGAAAGCTTGGACCCTCTGCGTCATCGACGAATTGTGCGAAAGGCTATTTTATATCAATATATTACCACCTACATCCGCTGCAGCTACTAGAAATACCATCATTTCCGTTCTTATTATCAGACAGTGGAATTATTGAATAATACAGCAGCTAGTCTAGATCCCTTGTGGGTGGGAAATGTCCTTAGATGGAAAACGGAGCCAGTTAAAACTCATCTGCCCTCTGTGCCAAAAAAACTGTTACAAATAATCAACTGCAATTGTGAAAGAGATTGTACCTCTAGGATATTTAATTGCAGCTAGCACAGAATCGACTGCATTGAGTCTTACAAATCTGTTTCATACGTGGTTATTACGTGAAAAAGACGTTAATGGTTGATCTAACAACCAACCTCTATAATAAACGTGATGACTTTAATTTTTCTATCGTCAACATCCCTTTCTTATGCAGCAATATACCTTCATCACCTGCATACGGAGTTTATATCTCTCGGTTGATTCGATTTGCACGAGCATGTTCTACGTATGAACAATTTCTAAAACGAGGACAATTATTGACAAAGAAGTCTATGAAACAAAAATATCAGCAGTCTCGTTTAAAGGCATCACTTCGTAAGTTTTATGGTCGATACAATGACCATGTCAGCAAATTCAATTTATCAATGAGTCAAATGATGACTGCCGTTTTTATCTAATTATTAGTCCATTATTGATAAACTGGAATAATGACGGATTTTCCCGTTATTTCCTGATCATGACAAGGAGCACACGACAGACGTAACCGGTCCATGGCACCTGATCCCACCTCTGATGCTTTTGAGGTCCGTGTTTTCCGTAAACTTCCACAAAAAGTGGCGATAAACAAATGATGGCATCGAAGAAAATCCCGGTATTATTTCGATAAAGGCAATTGTAAGATATTTAGAAGATTTACATGGTAGAACCTTTGGTCAAAAAAGCATAGCGGTAGCAGGAATACGTACTCTATTTATATTTTAAGTCGATTTTATTGCTCCTGTTATGGACTATCTGGGGTATATGGAGTTATCCCTTTCTCTAGTTCATTCAGTATTTGTTTTTCGTCGGGACTGTTTTGCAGGTTTTTTTCCGTGGTCTTGTAGAGATGATTTTAGCATTAATAGTTAAATTGATAACTTTTTGACGAATTTATCACATGTTTATACGCCCAACTTACGAAAGATTTGTTCCTTTGACACAGAGAATGTTTAATAATTCATCGTTAATCACACTTCCATGTCATACTTGTAGACAATGAGCTTAGTTTATATGATGTATATTGATTCCTGTATATCAAATTTCAGTTTTATGGACATTGAAAAGTATTTTCAATTAAAAAAATTATCTAAGAAGTGGAGACTCAAAATTCTTCACCGTTTCGATGCCCGCGAGGCTCAGTGGTTAGAACGTGGAGACCGGTCCTTCGGATGAGATCGTAAAGGTCCCGTGTCGCAGTAGTAGCTGTCATGGAAGGATCCCTGACTGCTCATTTACCCTGAGTGCCGAGTATAGGACAAAATTTGCTGATCTCCAACGGCAAGTGGTTGTGTCTCTATATGAGTGAAATATTTTTGAGGGGGGACTTAAACAATATACAATCAATCATTCAAAAAACTTATGAAAATGCAGATGCTTTATAATTTTTAATTTCCAAAACATTAGATCATGAAATTAATTAACAGCTATCTGATCCAGATTCGTAAAATAAAATTGTCGTAAAAATTTATAGATTTACAGTATATCAAGACACAAAGATTTTTCTTCTTCTTTTCTTTTTTTTAAAAGACCATACATTTAACGTTTTCTTTCTATCAATGGACTGCTAATTGAAAGTTATTGGTGATGGGAATAGGCTCATATTCAAAGTTTAATAAAAGTACTCAAAGGTATATTCTTTCCATCGCCAAAAAAAACTAAATATCTTTTTATAATGATCATCAACAAACTGTATTGCACTTAAAGAGGGATCCTAGGTGGAATATTCTAACATATTTGAAATATTAAAGTTTTCTTTTAAACTATCTTCTCTGAACAGTTTTTCAAATCACGGATAACCTTTCATGCTATAAATATTTTCCTCAGGTAAAATTGATTTCCGTATAGTTATTCGGCCATTTTGGACGATGAAAAACAAATAGTCGAGTATTTATGGTACAATTTAAACAAACCAATATCATGTTCGTGAAAACTAAATCATGTCCAAAAGATGTAAGTGAATGGAGAACTCGTGAAAAGAACTTTAATTGTTCTTATCCAAAAGAAGTTTATCATTGTTTATCTGACGGATACGGAAGATTGGGAGAAACATGTATCAAAGGGCTTGCAAGCTGGGTTGAGAAAGGTAAATTGTTAAAACGAAAGTATGTTAAGAAGTATTTTATGTCAATTATTTATTATTTGAAATAGGATTTGCCTGATTTGATGACGAAAATGATTAATCATAGTATGTTGTAAGATATTATAATTCAATGCGCATTATAACAGCATATTAGAAAGATTTAATTGTCAAAGACTATCGAAAACTACGGAAGCCCAATAGTGCAAACAAAAAGAATATTAAAAAGAAAAACGAAATTATTAATTAAATAAAGAAAAACGAAATTATTTAATATAGAAAAATGAAATCATTAGATACAGAAAAAAAACGAAATTATTAGATTAAAAAAAAAATTAATATATAGAAAAACGAAATTATTTAAAAGTAGAAAACGAAATTATTGAATAAAGAAAAACGAAATTATTAGAGTAGAAGTAGAAAAATGAAACTAAATTACGCAATTTATAGATGTGCATGGTATAGGGCCTGAACCCAGGAATCATCCCATAAAGCGCACGTGTTATAAAGCATCATCTAGTACAATGCAGTAACTCTTTACACCTTATATTGTTTCGATAATACAAACGTGTTGGGGTATGAAAAATTAAAAAAGAAAAGTAAATATCAAATTGACAAACGTACAAAAAAATTTATGCACATAGTCAAACATTTGCATCATAAACTGTTCAATTTTGTTTACGGGAATTTGTTAAATTGCTGTCTCATATCCCATCAACATCGTTGTTACAACCTGTAAGCCTGGACGTAATGAGGATGGCTGTTTTCTGCTTGCATAAAATTAATGACATTCCAATAGAATAGAGCTCATGAACTGCAAGAGGGTCAACACCTTGTGTATCGTATTACTGAATTCCCCTCAACTTTACCCAGCGTCTATCTGTGTACCCATAAATCTTAGATTGTTGAAACTATAAAGAGAAAAAATGGTTTGATTACTTTGTGGGATTTGTTTTGTGCAGGTGTGTGCATTGTTTGTTCACAAATATCACCGACTTATAAATACACAGACTGAGAGTTTGTCATTTAGAATATGTGAGAACAAGTACTATAGTAGTCAGTACCACTGACTTATAAATATTACAGATTGAGAGTTTGACCTTAATAATATGTGAGAACAAGTACTAGTAGCCAGTACGTCACTTCTCATTATGCTTTGATTAAAAGACCAAGAAATCAGAAGTGTTTTGCTTTATTTCATTTTATCATTAAAGCTGTTTAGGTCAACATCTCACCGAATTACTGACCAAATTATCAGACCGGTCAAAGTTCACATTAATCCTATTAAATTATTGTAAGATAAAAGCATAAATCTAAGCATATTAGATACCAAAGGTTTAATTCTCCCCCATCCATGAATTGTAATGGTTATGTTTTTCGATATGGGAATAGGTGAGTGTGAAGGCAAACATCACACTTGTTTATTGTCGAAACAAGATCAGGTGTATCAGACGCGTGCTCTAATGATTTATGGGTTCAGGCCCTTATTATGCACATATGAATTCCGTATCCTAGTTTCAGTTTTCTATTTTTAATAATTTCGTTTTCCTTTATTTAATAATTTCGGTTTCTATCTTCAATGATTTCGCTTTTCTTTATTTAATAATTTTGTTTTTCTATATTTATTTTTGGTTTGCACTTTTGGGCTTCCGTAGAAAACTGTTCGAACCGGATATAATCACCACATGATTAACGAATCGTTAAAAGTTTTACCTAGATTAACACCATTTACCATTCAGTCTTTCATACTACAGAAGTGAAACTAAGAATTTATTTAGAAAAGTTTGTATTTGTTTTATCTCTTCAAAGCAGGTAACATTGTTTATGTTCGTAGGGCTAATTATTTGAATTTTAGAGGACTTAGATTTAATTTCTCAAGTGGTAATCCAACTTACATATATAAATCTATTGCTAATGGAGTAGTTCTTCATAAGTATCAGTATATGCCAGTTCTATTTTTTTTAATATTCCTAACAATCATGAACAATAATAAGGCCATCATAAAAAAATGTTTGATGTACTCCGACCCACATTTTTCAAGGTTGGTAGGTAGGTAGGACATTTTTGTTTTTGCTTTACAAAATTGGGCAAAATGATACCTGTCATATAAATTACAGACTGAGAAATTAACTGATGTTTTCATTACACACTGGATAGATATATTGATTCAAAATTTATTGCTAAAACTTTTCAATTAAAAAGCATCCTAGAGAAATAATAAGTACTATGGAAACTGAAGAAAAAAAATCAAAAATCAAAATGCTGAAAAAATGATTGGAAAGTAGCAATTTTGACGGGTCGATCGGAGTTTTTTATTGTTGGCCTTCCCACACCTATACTGGAACACAAAACTCCATAAAATCCTTTCAATCATATGAAGGAACAAAACGGGTTTCGGAAAGTGTTCTACCAAACCTTTTTCTTTGCTGCGCACTAGCAGTAGAGGTGAAAATTCAGGAGTGCTATACAACATAAATTTGATAAGTCGTGTAATTCAGATGTGAATATTCTAAAAACTCCAAGGAACTTTTAAAAAAAATGGAGAAAAAACAATATTTACCAAAATACATAAAATCACATGCACGACATTTCGTCACTTTATAAAACCATTACCCACGATAGATTGAAGTTCGGGCTCTATGATATCAAAGACAGCTTCTTTTTATCATTAAAATCGAACTCATAAATATCTTTAATTTGTCATTAGCCATATGAATTAAGTTTATATCAAAATGATACTTGAGCTTCTGATTGAAAATGTCTACGTAGTTTTAAGAAAACAGGTATTACAACAGTCTGCTGGTTTTCCCATGGGAACCAATTGCGCAACCCTGCAAGCAGACCAATGTTTGGTCGAATTACATAAAGTAAAATCTAAAAAAAAAAATGACAACATGAGAATAAAAAGAACTACTTGCAGTGATTTTCTACTCAATCGGCATTAGATGTACCTGTATCGACGGATTAACAATAATAACTTACATTTAACGTCGATCGGACATATCTCAGCCAACTTCAAATATAAGACACAAGAGAGTCTGGTACATCTGCTTCATATTTGGATATTTTAGTTAGACTGTATTAACCGTTGTCCCGTGTCGCAGTGGGTATTGGTACGAGAATATCCCTCACTGATCAATGGCACTGAGTGCCAAGCATGCGTTAAATATTGTAGCGCATCGTCAACAAGTGGCGACGTCTCAATGTGAGTGAAAAATTCTCGAGAAGGACGTTAACCAACACACAAACAAACGAATAAAACAAAAAATACTGATTTGAAATTCTAGGGAAAGACAATTCCTTGACAACGGGCGAAACAGAGGTATCTCTGCACAAACCTCAATATCATTTTAGACAGAGATCAGACTTAAGTCAGTATTTTGAATTTTTTTTACATCTTAGTTTCATTTAACACACGTGGATAAAATCTTACTGATTTTTAAAATAAATAAATAATTCATAAAGATTTTGAAAATTTTGTTTCGTTGTCAAAATTATTTAAATATCATATTGATTTCAAACTTTGACTATAGTTTGTTCTTAGTTTCTGGTCTTGAGGCTTAGTTCCTAAACGCTACTTCAACTAGTCCAATTAGCCTGTATATGGGCTATAGCACTAAAGGGAATATGAAATATTCCTACATTTAAAATAATTAGGAATGATGATATTTGTGTTTTTCTCCTACCTTTATTTTCTCGAGTGAAAAAGATAAACTTCTTGTTGCTGGTGAAAAATGCAAGAAAAAGACAACCTGTTACATGTAGGAGATATTTAAGTGCAAAATACGGTGTGTGTTGAGTTTGGATGAGTAAAGGAGGGTGTGTGTGTCTGTGCGAATGGGTGCATTTGAGGATGGACGTGTGTGTGTTTGTTTAATTTGGGTGTTATGTCCTGTTCGAAACGGAAGTGACGTAATTTGCAACAGGATGGACGTTGCATTTCCCCTTGATTTATAGATATGGTTTTTGCGAGGGTAGGATCTGGTTTGAGGTTGTTAGCTATTAAATGAATCTCTGATATTCTAATTTTTAGGTTATACATTTGTTTTGTTTAATTTAAACTGTGGTTGAAAATATAGACGAAAAATCACTGAACATATTGAAAAAGTGTATATACGTTACGCCACGATGCCATAGAAACTAGTATGACGTATAGATCTATTTGTCAGACGCGTTCATGAAAGCATCTTATTCCATTTAAAGACTCGAATCTCTTCATTCATTAAACGCTGGTAACTGTTTGTAATTACAAAATAAATGAATACTGTGTCATTTGTATTTTATTTACGTGTGTTACAGCTCATGGTTTATTCTCTAAGTCATAATAAATGCTTTATTGTCCCAATAAACAAAGTAACTTTAAAGTCACGTAAACAATAAAATTGCGCTGTTCTTTTTTGCTAGATTACTGTCCAGAGTACAATATGGACACCAATAATGTGAACACTGTTCCCTGTCATGGGACAACTGACTGTCCAAGTAAAGCATTCAAATCCAATGAGGTTTATGAATGTAAGTAACAAGTCAATAAGCATTTATTACATTCATCTACCTAATAAAACTGTTGAACACACATTTTTTTATTCCAGTGCTCATTGGAATAGTTAATTAATACTGAAAAACCTTTCAATAAAAAAATCCAATCGGACAATGTTGTTTTTTTTTCAAATATAAATAAATACATGTATATACTGTTTGAATTCAACATTTTGTAAAAAGGTAAGAGGAAATACTCTTTGAATGACTTACCTTCCCCATTCATTATATTAATTTTATCATTATATTATTGTTGAATTTTAGATCCAGTTTGTGTACAGGAAGGGTATGTATAGTAAGGAAAAGAGAATTGACTCACGAAAATGATAGAAAAAATATTAGTAAAAACCAATTTTTTCGAATGGATGAACGGCTCTACATGAAAAAAAAATATTTTGCTGTGGTCTGCATAACGGCATTATTTGAATTGAGGACATTTCATGATATAACAATTTATTTACATTCATAAAACGTATGTATGTTATTTCAATTGATTCAATTATCCCTAATACTATAATAGAAACTACGGAATATATGACACTTCTTCCATAATGGGATGTTTACCTGGAGAAATACATTAGTGATAATAACTTAATTTCAATAAAAACATGACTTAGACATTTTGTTATCATATAAAGTATTTATTTCTCGTCATCAATTATGTCGAAAACTTGATTTATTAAAGCAATAAGTTTGTTATCTATTTCAACTTGCGTTGTCAAAAACTTTTAGGCTAATACTTTAACGTTACGTGGTCTAGGAATTTCAATACAAGCAAAGGGTCCACAGTTATTTTGAGGGGTCGACAGGGGATTTGTACCCCTCCATTGCACCTGATTCAACATCTGCTGAAAGCAGAGAACCGAAACTTAAGTTTAATGGCATTTTAGCATTGTTACTAATCGTTAAGTTATATTCATTTTCTTCAATCATAGTTTGTTCAATATATGTATATTATTTAAGTGTTTAGTGAAAACAATTTCTAAAGAGACATCAATTAAATTTTAATGATGTTACATAACTAGGAAAAACTAACTACATAAGAAAACAAGCAGCGTATCATTTATATACTAGGTCTATCTTCAGCCTTCAGCTTTAGTAGTCCTTTCTATGGCATTTTTCTGCAGAAAAAAATGCTTGTAAAATTTATGTATCTATGATTTTTTTTTAGCAAATATCAAAATTTATCAACAAAGTCAAATTTACTCTCCTGAAAAAAAATAACAAAATTTTACAGTATTCAATCTCGAAGTCCATAAAACAGTACAAAATAGGAGGAGAACAAACACGGACTTCAGAGGTAGGATCAGGTGCCATGGAGGAGTGAGGATCCCCTGCTGACCGGTCACTAATATCGCCGTGTTCTTCTTGTCATTATTATCTAATTGTTTAATTAAGAATTCATGCATTTCTAGATATATAAATACAACAAATATTCAAAGAACAATAAGCTATGAAATCAAATTGATTAGAAATAATTGAGCAAAGTACAGAAATTTTCTGCAATTTTTAAAATTTAATTAGTTTTGATTTTGTTGCCTGTCGTTGAATTTTGTAAATGCTGAATTATAATAAATGAGTTTAAAGTCTTGTTTCTTTTTTGCTCTTCTTGCTCTTCTTTTCCATGCAAGCATGACATTTGTAGCAAAATCATCCCCATGTAATTATGTTTATATTCTCATATATGTTTTATGTAAGTTATCATGTTTTAATTTAAAGTTTGCATTAATATTTACGTCGGTTATAGGGCTGTAAATGCATGATTCTATATGTACAATAATCGAGCTCTAACTGTTATAATGGATGGAATGCAGGAACTAGTAGATAAGTTCCGAATAACATACATGTACATGTATATTTATGCTGTATTAAAATGAAATTTGTTTCATGATTAATTACAAATTATCGAGGATGATATAGAAATCAAATCAACCATATACACTATCAAGTTTTTCCTTTTTTCTTCCTTGCTTAAGTACAACTCTAATGAATGGCGGACCCTCATCCCTGTCGAAGGATGTCATTGCACTTAGCGTGGCTGCGGGAGTATTTGTCCTTTTAGTTGTCCTCAGTGTGATGGCTCTTTTGTGTTACAGAAAGAGAAGATCACGTGAGTAGAAGTTTGAGCATTTTTTGATTGCAAAAGGATAAAAGATAACAAACTAACATAAAATTTATTAAATGCTTCAAAATATAAATAAATACCAAAAGATAGAGAACGATATAATGTAATATAATGATTTATCAGATATGCAAATGTTTTTTAAGGTTCATCGTGAAACTAATATTTTCCTGAATTTGAACATTATTCCTCGTTAACATTATTTGAATACTAAACACTCAATGAATATTATATTCACACAAAGGATCTTTTATTTCAAAAGGTATTTATAATTGAAAACGAATATTAATGATTTTTCAGATGATTGAAATTATATCTAGAAGGTTTTTCTTTGTAGAGGAAACCCGAAATAGAAAAGAAGAAAAAATCCATTTACTATCTGCAGGTATAATTTTGTAAAATTTCTTGAATTGATGAAGCCAAATCTCACAATTTTCTCCAATTAAAATAACATTTATATTTGCCAGATATACCACCGTTCTACAAAACTTCAATTTTCCATAAAGCAAATGCTTTTCTCAAAGATGGTGGGAAAATTCTGTGTTTGATTGGAGAATGGGGTTCTGGGAAATCGACAACAGCCAAAGAAGTTTATATGTCCATTACTGGTAGAACACCTGCTGTAATAGAGGACATACTGAAGTTTGATGTGAGTACATGTCAGGACTCTATCATCGTCGAGGAAGCTTTACCAAGAGAAAGCATTTCTGAAATAGAAACGAGCGATATTGTAGAAAAGATGATCTCTTTATGTTAACAAATACAGACATCTAAAAATATATTTCTAATCATCACTTCAACCGAGGAAGCCTGGGGAAAACTTAAAGAGAAAATCAAGGATTGCAATGATTTATGTTGTATTGATATAAATTGGAAGAGTTTGACAGACGCAGACCGGATTCAAATCCTTCACACCATCTTCGAATATTACAATCCAAATACACCATTTTCTAATGTAGAAAAAGCTGCTTCAAAGATGCAGACTGAATCATTTGGTTTCCCAGAAATTTGCACATTGTTATCAAGATGTAGAGAATTTCAAAATAGTCCTATTATGTTTCTAAATAGACCATTGCGTTATTTAAGTTCATATTTAGAGAAAATGTGTCAATCTCCTGAGGGAAAAGAAAAGTTTGCAATACTGGTATATATGAGTGTAAATGATATGAAAGTAGATATTAATGAATTGAACGAGAAGCTTAGGAAAATATTTAGAACGTGTGGTCTCAATGCAGACAAAAATGTGCCGTTAGAAACGATTATACCAAAGGAATTCGTTTTACAGGTAGAGTCGTCAGTTTATGTGTTACAACATGAAATTATAAAAAGAATAACTCTGATAACATTTGGAAAGTTTTACTTCTCAGATTTACTTAGGTTTTCTTCGAAAAAAGATTTGGTAGGCTGGATTAAAAAGAAACATTTCTTTACATCATTGGTGGAAGGTACACAACAAGCGTCGAATATAAAACCAGTTCTTGAAATTGATGAGGAACAATGGATTGAATATCTGGAGAAAATGGAGAGTACATCTACTACACCAAGATGTGAGAAAAGTGATAAAACAAATGACAAACATGATATTGACCTCTAAAACATTTATATAGTTTGTAATGCAGATTATTCATTTGTTAGTTAACACTACTCATGTTGAGAAATGAAACAATCTACAGATCTGATTGATTGTATGTTGTTTTACGTTCCATTTGAGAATTTGTCACTTATATAGACACATAACAATAAACCGTTGAAAGGGGTCACATTTAGACTTATTCTTGGCACTCAGGGTCTTTGAGCAGTTAGGAATCTGTTTGGTGCCAAGGACTGTCGTGAGTCGTGACGTGGAACCTGAGTTTTTTAAAGTCTCAACCAAAGGACCCGCAACTTTCACTTCAAAGTGCCTAGCAGTGACGGAACAGTTGTTATTAAAAATTAAAATGTCTTAGTGCAAAAAAGGTCAAATACATGAGCATGCGGAATAATTTGGAAATATCTTTCTTGTCACATATTTAAATGTGTCTCTTTAAGATGAAATAAGACTGTATTAGATTCCATAATTTATTTGAACAAAAAATATTGGAAGAAAAACTATTGGATTATGTGTGCGACGTATTTACAGTGTAAAAAGATCAAACTAAATGCTCTGTAACGACAGAAGACGCGCATTTACCCCCATTTTTTTTTTTGATTTTTAATAAAGCGATATGTATAAATTTTAAAATTATACTTGATAAGAAATTCTCATTGCTTTTGATAGCAGAATCCAGCCTCCTTAAACAATATTAGTGAAACAAGCAACTTTCGTTTTCTAGGGTTCAAATCATATACATTAAAATAAACTAGATGTTACAAAAAAAGTCAGTTATAAACTGTATTTCAGATTGTGTTTCCATAAAACAGAGATTTTTTCATATCAAGAATTATGGTGACATATTTATGCGATCCACATACAATACAATTTAATTACAATTTTATGTTTTTTACGCAGCACAGTCAAGGCTACAAAAAGAAAGGGGGTCTTATTTATTTGGGAAATGTTTACTATGACGTCACACAAATCTATCATGTCTTTTTTGCCTATACTTAATTGTACTACAGATCTATACTATATCAAATCTTAGTATAATCTGCAGGTTTTTTTCCCGTTCATTTCATCCCACACAGCATGATAGATTTGGCTTCTTGATTGCAATGCATGTGTCAAAGTGAGGTCATATCGTAAAAGTGGACGCACTTTGTATGCAGTGGGAGGCTGATAAAGCTACATTTTGTATTCTGTTATAATCAAATAAAATATTATTTGCAGATATATCAGGTCATTAACTTGGATGCGATGTCTATTTTACTATATAATGCAAGGACTGTCTGTATATTCTCCAGACAAGTGAGGCAGTGGCATATTTGTATATTTGTCGTAGATTCAATTTAAAAGTATCAGAAGGGTCGTAATATATCGATTTATTGCAAGACCACACCCTTATATGCCAAGATTTTTTTTTACATATAAACTGAAGATATTTGAAAAGTGCTCTTAACCTAAAAATATCTTGCAAAATAAGTTTATTATATCTACATTGAATAAGAATAGAGGAATATTTCGGTGACGTTGTGATCATTGCTGAGGTAAACGGTAAATCTAATCTTATTACTCTTTACAAGACCGCGTCAGGCATATTTTATGGCTTTTATCACTAAGCAGAATCAACAACAAAGAATCAGAGAGGAACAGTTTGATAAAAGCTGACATTTGTTTAGATGATCCGAAAACACACTATATTTTCCCATCAACTTTAAAGTCTTCTGAAGCAAACTTTTAATACTAGTAGGTACCGGAGAGTTTGAGTTTGGTTTTACAGGTTTTGATCACAAGCATTTACACTATATTGAAAGACCCTGAAGTGTCATAACTCCTTTAGAAAATGGGTTTGTTATTCAACTCATCATCGTTTTGATTCAAAATTTCCTATAGATACTTTGTATAGCCTTGGTTTTTCTCAGCTTACTCAGTGGTGCTTGAGTATGAAATCAATGCTGCATAAACGACAGCTAGAGAGTCAACATAAAAGGATGATGTAAGTGACAACACCTCGGTCTAGTTTGTTGCTGATAATTTTGACCAAAACAATCGCACTTTAGATAGACACGAAACGTTCCATGACATGAGTATCATTGTTGGATTCACACGAAAGCAACAAAAGGAAGTCATCATTCTGCGAGTTGGAATTACGACCAAAGAACTGAAAAAAATGCAAAAATTGATTTTTACTATTGTAAGCTAGATCAAAGAAATTAAGTCGATATTTATTTTCAGATTTAAACGTCACAGAAGTTGAAGATACATCATGTGATAAGTCACTTCAATGTAGCGTTGTTTGGCCAAAGCTAAATCCAAGCTGGTCTGCTACCTGTCAAATGGTAAACAATTAGGATTATCCTGGACAGTCAAATGTTGAGATCTTGCCAATGTCAGACATGAACCTAAGTGGTGCTTTTTTGTATTTTTTCAGGCTACATTTTGTTTGAAAAAAGGCTAGAAAATATCAACATATTCCGGTGCTGACATTCGATCAGCCTTTGTATTGTAAAGTACGAATAATTTACGATAGGAGGCGAGGCTCGTGACAGTGTAATCAAAAGAGTTGTTCTTAGATTGCAGCAGAGTGCTTTTCATACAGAGATGAGTTTCTTGGGAGTGCTGGCACTTTTTTAAAAAATGAGCAACTAAGACCTTAAAAAGCTTTTGGAAACTGTGTATGCAGAGACGAGTGTTTCTCACATATTGACTGGTAGAGCTTACTCGCGAGCTACATGTATAACTTTTTAAGAAGACACGTTCTGGTTCAATTTGCCTTAAGAACTACTTTACGATCTGAACTATATGATTTTCACCTTCCCTTGAACGATTCAGACACTTCTGATACAAAAGAATTTTCTGACACATCTGACTGTATCTAAATGACATCTGATGAGGAGATAATTAAGATGAAGTTGATATAGAGAACAATACAGTAGATATACAAGGAGATGTGGATGTATTTGATAGTCTATCAAATGGAAATATTTCGGACAAATGTTGACAAAAGGACGATGCCTTGAAAAACATAAGAAAAAATGCAATAGTTTGAGAATCACATAAAGAACTTACGACTACTCTTGTTTTGTTGTAGTAACTTGTGATTAAGCGAAATGCTGCAAAAGTTTATCACAGCAGAAAGGACTGGATATGGATAGCTGCATTTAGAAACACCGAAATATTTGTTGTCGTAATTTGCTGCAACTGGTCACAACAAAAACACACTAAATGCGACCATCTTTATCTATCAACAGCAAATTTAACGCTTCACCTTGAGAATACTCATTGTACTCTTCACAATGCCTTTGTAATGATGGTTTTGATGATCAAGCACAAAGAACTCATCTTATTTACGCAGGACAAAATGACTTATCTCTACTAAAATGCATTTTAGTCTGCAAACGCTATTTCGATCGAATAAAGAATCTTTCCTGATACATCTAAATCAAGAGAGGGAGCAGAATTTCATTGAAATACTTTCCAGAAATCTTAGGAAAATGCTTATCAAGACTAGGTTAACAAAAATGATGTTGATATCAGCATTGCAGAAGCTGCATCAGAACACATTACATTGGTTAAGACAAAGATTTAATATTTTTATTGATAAACATAAAAGAGCCAACATGTCAGCCCGTACGGTTTCAATCAGACCAATATAACAACCAACCTCTATGATAAACGTAATGTCTATAACTTTTCTATCGTCAACTTCCCTTTTTTATGCAGCAATATACCTGCATCACCTGCATACGGATTTTATATACATGTATCTCATTTGATTCGATATGCAGAGCATGCTCTACGAAAGAGCAATTTCTAAAACGAAATTAATACTGATAAACAAGTCGATGAAATAAAAATATCAGCAGTCTTATTTAAAGGAATACTTTTTCAAGTTCTATGGTCGATAAATTTATCAATGAGTCAAATGATGACTTTCGTTTTTCATACTAATTATTAGTTAGTCGATTATTTATACATTGGATTTACGACTATTTACCCGTTATTTCCTTATCATGACAAGGAGCACACGGCGGGTGTGACCGGTTCGTGGCACCTGATGCACCTTTGATGCTTTGGAGGTCCATGTTTGCTTTGTTCCTCTTTTGTATTGTTTTATGGACTCTTGATCTTGAATACTTTTCGTTATCCCCGTATGTTTCATGTATGAGGATTGGGAGGATAAATATTTAGATATATCTAATGAAGAGGACAAAAATGAAG